CCTCGGACGGGAGCGCCGCCGCGCTTCCCAAGCGGTGCACTATCCAGTGCACCACCGGGCCGGCCCTTATGCACAAGTTTATATTCAAGAAAAAAACTTAATCACAATTTGATGAGTGCATTCTTAAAAAATTTGAAATTATAATTTTTTTTTTCCTTTTTGTCTTTTTTTTTCATGACTGGTAACGGGATCGCAACCCTCGGTGTCGCGCCCGCACTGCGACCGGCAACGGGATCGCAACCCTCGGTGTTGCGCCCGCACCGTGCTCAACCAGTGAGTGGACCGGTCTCTATATGGGATCCGAACCCTCAGTGGGAGCGCCGCCGCACTCCCAAGTGCCACACTCTACCGAGTGCGCCACCGGGCCGGCCCTGAAATTATAATTTTTGATATATTCTTTCATTTGTCTCATAAGGTACTTTGTGCTTTGGGGAAGCAGAGGACGGGGTGACAGTAGCTTCATTCATCCACTCAAAACATGGTATCCTGCACCCACTGTCCTGCTAGGCGCTGATCACTTTGAAGTTACAAAGTCTACAAAGCAAATCATGTCACCTTTGAAACATCGAGCTATTTTTATATGACACTCACTGTGTCTTGGCAATGCAAAATAAGTAAAACCGAAATTGTGAGTTGAATACAAATGTGCTTTAAACATTCAACACATTTTTATTTTGTTTTTCTTCAAATATCAAGAATTTTCAAGTCTTTAAAAATTACCTCATGTATTATAACAGAGAGCATTTGTTATATGGGAGATCATGGGAGTATAAAACCTCTAATAGTATTTTGAGAACTTTACCAGTTACATTACCCCAATTGCCTGTTAACTTGGCCCTATAAATGCTAAAATAAGGGTTTCTAGTCAAGTCTCTTATTGAAAACATTCACTGACCTCTTCTGAAATATTTTGCAATAGATAATCTGAAGTAGTCCGTGTTTGTTTTGTTAAACCTGGAGCTCCACACCCACACACAGGGAAGCGATTGCAGCTGCCCCATCGCAGCCCAGAGGTGCTCAGTGATTGCATCCTGCACCAGATGATTGGAATTGCCAACCAGGTGGTCAGCCAGGTGGAATGCCCACCTGATCCCTGTCTGACCCTGGGTTAGGGTTAGGGTCAGACAGCTGGAGGATCCCTCCTGGGCCGTGTGACCGTGGCTCCCCATCCCACTGCCCCTGAAGGTAGAATGCTTCAGACTGTGGGGAGTGCTGCGTAGACGGTGGATGGGGAGGGGCCGCCAGGGTTCTCAGGTAAGACCTGGGGAATGGGGAGGAGCTTGAGGTACAGTTAGGGCAGGTGTCCTGGGGTGAGAGGAAGCGTGCCATGGTCTCAGAGCAGAGAGGAGAGGAGGCAGCGACCAGCCTCGCAGGGCCTCACAGCTCAGGACGTAGTCTCAGTGTGGGGAGTGGACATCAGGATGTCCACTGGGTGTTCCTGGACTGAATGAGGAGGGCAAGGATACTGTGCTGCCGCCTCTCAGTGCTGTCCTTGCAGCTGTCATGGCATGCCCTGGGCCCTCTCAGGACACTGCGGACTTCGGGTTGGCATGTTCCTTCTAGAATATGGAGGTGGGCTGTGGGGTCCACGTGTGGCAAGTGCCAGCTGTCCTGGACACTTTGGCAAGCTCTGCTCTTCCTCTGGCGATGCAGCTCCTGTGCTTCCTGTGGTTGTGGAGCGTGCTCTGTTTCTTTCCACGACTGGAATGCAGTCACGTAGTCCATTACCTAGGACCTTATGGTTGGGTCACCGGGGAGCCAGCAGTGTTTGTTCTGCCCTCTCTGGTTCTCTGCAGACTGTAATGCTCTGCTCACATGCCACGGTAGGATCTGGCTGCCTGCAGCACTCAGTCCTGTGAAGAGACTGCCCTCCTGACCTCTGCTCTAATTACAGGTTCCTGGGGAAGGGACCCTGGCCCAAGGAAGAGAATCACTTGATTTTGGCAGACAATCAGGTGTCCACCGCAGATCATAGTCTTGGGATTTGCATGATCTTGCTCTTAGATGTTGAGGCCAAATCTGAAAGTCCCTGAGAAGAAAGAAAGGGATTGGGTGGGAGATGGAGACGGGAGGAGGTGCTCAGTGGAGCGGAGGGCTGGAGAACCGAGGGTTGTTGATCTGTGGTTGTTCATGCTGGGCTGGGGCCCTGGGGCTAGACCTTCCTACCCCATCCCTCTTGATTCTGACCACCTCGCCCATTGCTCCAGATTCATGGATGAGTTTTCCTAAACGGCAGCTGTACTTTTGTCATGTCTTTGTTCAACAACCTTCGATAGCTCTCCAGTGCCCACAGAGTTTAAGTGTCACTCCCTCTATGGGCTCTTGTTTGCTGACCATGACAGGCTCGCTCCAGTGGACGACGATTTCTCTTCACCCTCGCCCCAGCTCTGCTGGTCAAATGTCCACTTAGTCCTCCTTGGTCTTAGCTGCTACTTTCCCCATGAAGCCTGCCAAGGTCTCTCCAAACTGGATTAACTCTATTGCCTTTGAAGCCACAAGACCAGCATGCCACAAGACCAGCATGCCACTGGATGGTTGGGTCCTGTATTCACACAGCCAGTGTGATGGTGGATGGTTGGGTCCTGTGAATCTGGACGGCCAGTGTGATGGTTGGGCCTTGGGTCCTGTGAATCCGGATGGCCTGTGTGGTGGTGGATGGTTGGGTCCTGTGAATCCGGATGGCCTGTGTGGTGGTGGATGGTTGGGTCCTGTGAATCCGGATGGCCTGTGTGGTGGTGGATGGTTGGGTCCTGTGAATCCGGATGGCCTGTGTGGTGGTGGATGGTTGGGTCCTGTGAATCCGGATGGCCTGTGTGGTGGTGGATGGTTGGGTCCTGTGAATCCGGATGGCCTGTGTGGTGGTGGATGGTTGGGTCCTGTGAATCCGGATGGCCTGTGTGGTGGTGGATGGTTGGGTCCTGTGAATCCGGATGGCCTGTGTGGTGGTGGATGGTTGGGTCCTGTGAATCCGGATGGCCTGTGTGGTGGTGGATGGTTGGGTCCTGTGAATCCGGATGGCCTGTGTGGTGGTGGATGGTTGGGTCCTTGCCCGCCATGTGGTCAGCAAGTCTGTTGGCTGTGCCTTCAAGTGCATCTGTTCCCCTGCAGTGGGGGTGGGGCAGAATGCAATCAGGGACACCTTGAGGGCTAGTGCTGCAAGTGTCTGACTGAGGGTGTTTATGACATTATTAAGCATGTAGTGGGATAAAAATCTGAAACATTATATTTGTCAATTTTCGTTAATTTATGCCTTGTAAGACACAGCCAGGTAATCACTCATTTTATAGCCCATGGTGACTTCCCTTTAATGACATAGAATATTCTAAAATAGTTGAATAAATCCCAGGTTAGTTATAGGAAGTCTGGATTTATGTTAATTTCATCACCAACTACTTTGCCGAGGTCAATTTAGAAAATAACTTTGTGTCTTAGTAATCGGTATCAGTGACCAACCTTCTGAACACTCTACCCAGTCCAGGGCTGGCCAGTGCCTCAGGGTCATTGCTTACCATTGCCTCCGTGAGGTTGTCTTCCTCGCTTGCCTCTGGGGAAGCAGACCCAGCAGGTCCAGGCGTGGTCTGTCGGGTGGGATGGTGGATTCTGACTCGAGGCCTGTTTGGTTGGAAAGCCTGTGGGAAGCGTGAAACGGTCCCGAATGTGGAGCCGCAGGGTGATTTCTCTTCCTTTTTCCCGGGCACGGGGCCGTGAGCAGTGGGTGTGATGTGGTGTGTGTGTGGCCGTACGAGGAATGACGAGCGAATGGTAGGCCTTATCTGTATTAAACATCACACGTGTAGTCATATGTACTTTGTATTTCCAGACCGAAGATGGAAAACCTACAGGAGGATTTTCCCACTCATGGTGGCTGTGCAAATGGCACAGTCATAGAGAAGTTCCTGATTCAGTCCGCGGAGTCCGCGTGCCACGTTCAGCTTGCCTGCAGCACGCGGCACTGCGCTTTCCCTCTGCACGGACGTCGACTCTGCATATGGGACACCGAGGGCCCTCCTCATAAGGTATCTGACAGGCTGTGCGTGTTCCTTGTTGAGTCTGGCGTCACGGAGGCCCTGCCCCGTCCCCGTGGTTCTGAGCTTCATCACATCGTTACAGGCGTCAGCGGCTCGTTCTTTTTACCACTGAGTAGTGTCCATCGCATGGCTGTATATTTGATGATGACATTTTGTGCTGTTAGCCCCGTAAATACCTCAGCTTCTCAACTGCCTTTAGTGGGATTTTCAGAAAGCTGCCTTTACAGCAGGTGTCTTCATGGGACAGAAGACCCCAGATGCTGAAGCACAGCACGGCCCTCAGACGTTTTTCTGTGATCACGGTACCATAATTCTTCACCGCCTTGGCTGCTTTCTGGTGCCTTCAGAAGAAGCTGTTTTGCGAATCTTGCTGGGTTTTTCTTGTTTGGTCAGGAGGGTTGCCGCGGCTCAGCTAGCCTGCCGTTTCCAGAAGTAGAGCTCTCCCGGTCCCCTGTTAAGTGATGTCCCCCACATCACACAGCCGTTGTCTACTTAACACAGCTTGTAAACGTCCCACTCAC